AGTGAGCAAAAACAAATCAAGATGCTTCATAACTCAAATAATAACATTCTTTCAGTAATCGATAATATTACTTTTGATCCATCTTAGATATAAATTATTTTTAGTTAAAATTATTTTTCTTGTCTAATTGTTTTGTATTAATAGTAATGTTCATATAGATCAGACTTGAATTAGACTTTAGTTAAGTTTAAGTCTAATTTGATTTTTGGATTAAACTTAAACTTTTATATTCAAACTTTTTAATTAAGTTTGATTTTAGTTTAGATTTAGTTTAAAGTTTATATACTAATTTAAGTTTAAGAAAAAAAGTTGCTTATATTTATTATTTTATTATTATATTAATATAGTATATCTCAAAAATACTCAACTCTTTCTAACAATCACTTGGTCAACAACAATTTACCAAACTACAGTTAGCAATATAGGAAAGCAACATAGTATATACAGCAATATTCTTGGTTTTGCACTAAGCAAACTTGTTGTCGATGAAGTCTACAATACATGAAACACCAAGGAGCGGGCATATAAGAATATTAGGCGGGTTTGTGCCTTGGGTCAAGTTTTTCTATCTTTGACGGACTCCTTCACACGTTTGGCATCCAAACTAAAAGGTTTATTCTAGAAACAAGTAGAGCAAAGTTTCTGGGCAAGAATATCAAGTAGATACTTGAAAACTGGACTATACAACTGTAAAACTTACAAGAAGAACCTCACATATACTCGTTGACTCTCTACTTTTTTTTGGGGGAAAAATTTTGAAAAAAAGTGGGTGATTTAGCTTACCTCTTCAAAAGATCGATATATTGTTTACTTACCAAATTGGTCACATTGTTTATATTTTTACCTGTCACAACAAATACATAGATTTTATGGAACTGAACATGTGGATTACGTGCCTCGAATGTGACAACCTGGACAAACAATGACTTGAGATCTATGGTGTGAATTTCTGACCTTTCTAACCTCTCTATAGTGCTGATGTCAAAGAAGTTATTTTTTTTTTTACCTTGTCACAGAGTTTTTTTTCTTATCTTAGATATATTATATATGTAGATTAGAGTAGAGACTAGTTTAGATAGTAGTATGTAATTTTTATAGAGCCCGACACAGGCTTATAATTGTGACCGTCCGGTACAGATGAAAAATTCTATATTTAGTTTAGTTTTTTTTTGTTTTTCTCTTACCTCATTCTTTTCTTGTTTGTATTTTTTTACTGTATTCTCCTATATCTCTGTATTTTTTAAAAAATTTTTCTTTTTCTTTCACTTCTCTATAAGAAGATGTCATCAGATTGGCGATATTCTATTGTAGGGCGGTGGTCGGACGAGCCCTTTGGTTAGGGTATATTTTATATATCTCGCTGGTGCGGCAGGTCGCCTATGGGCGCTCGAAAACGTAGTAGTCGTAGGATGTTAGAACTTAAGTTTTATTGTTTTAGCATTTTTCATAAGATAATGACTTTAATAAACAGTATCACTGGTGCAATCTTGTCTAAGTGGAAAAAAAAAAAAAGTAATACAAGATTTAATAAAAGTTTACAGAACTTAAATAAGTATAATTTTTGTATTATATATAGAATTTATTGTGAATTCTATATTTGGATGCATAAAAGTGAAAACCGAAAATTTATTTAAGTTTACTATAATTGGTTATAAGTTTTATATTTACACATCTATTATATATAAAATATATTCAGAAAAATAGAATTAATTAAAAGTTTGATTCGTTAAAGATTTATATAATTTTTCTGAGCATATTTGGTATACAAAATACAGAATTTGTAACTAATTTTTATATAATACAAATTTATATTAAATGTTTTATAATTTATTTAAATTCTGTAAATTCTATTAAATTTTGAATTACTTTTTTTATGAATTAGCATAATACATATTTATCTCTTAGAATCTTGCAAATAAAATAGATGAAGGTTTGAATAGCAGTCTTTTTGATTTTTCTAAAGATATTCTTATAAATATTCTTGATAACAATTGGTGGTCTAATTTGTGACAACTTGAAGAAATTCTTCTTTCTTATTGTTCAATATTAAATAAACTACAATATAATCAGGCTAAACTTTATGATGTTTTATATGGCTTTGGATGGATTGTGCAAATAGTTGAAAATCTTATGATTCTAATCTATATACTAATCTTTTAACACATATAGAACGTTGATGATAAACATGAGAACAACCATTATTGCTATTAAGCTTTTTGCTACATTCTAAATATTGTGATCATATATTCAATAAGCAAATACGTAACTTAACTTTTCCTTATTTTGGTCAATGATTATTATATTATTATAAGGCTTGGTTTAAAAATGAATCTGAAATTCTTTTAAATGAGTTACAACAATATCGAGAAAAAGAATATCTATTTTGTGATGAAGATTATAATCAATTCAAAAAAAAGATGATATTCTTTCTTATTAAAAATTTGTTAGTGAATATACTGAAGAATTACAACTTGTTGCACAATATATTTTTTCAATATGCATTAGTTCTGTATCTATTGAACAGTTATTTTCTACTATGAGTTGGTTGCATAATAAATAAAGAAATAAATTAAAGATATACTATTTTATTTTATATTATTTTATTTATTTCTTATTACTATTATTTTTTTTATTGATATTATTGCATTTGAGATTTATTTTTTATCATATAAACTGAGCGCAGTATATAAAACAAAAATATTGCATACATTTTTTTTGAATATATGTGTGAATACTGCATCAAAAAAATTAACATTTTGTGAATAATGCGCACAGTTAATACAAAAAAGTTTTTAAATTGTGTAGTATCCACACAGTAAATTTTAGTTAAAAAAATTAATACTAATATTTTAGTTATTTAATATCATATGTACTAACTAGTATTAATTTAATTTTGTAGCATAAAAAGGTAGTTACAATATGTCAAATACATAGTGAATTAATTCATTTACAGTAATTAAAGGAAATTTATAAAACAAAAAAAAATTTTCTTCAAACACAAATTGCAATGCCTGCAATACTGTCTAATGATGACAGTGAATATTCAAATAAGAGTACTGAATCAGAGGATAAGGATACAGAGTCAAATAGAAGTGAAGCGTCAGAAGATGCACTTGAGTTTATTGAAAAGCAGGAAGATATTAGTTCAACAAATGAATGGAACGAAGTTGTGAATAAATAGAATTCTCTTTTAGAAGAAGAGAAAGCCATAAATGAATTAAATGAAGATACTATAAATAAATTAAGTGAAGATACTATAAGCGAATTAAATGAAGATATTATAAGTGGAGAATCAGATTTTAATGATCATCCTGCTGTTGCATTAAATGCTAAGTGGAAATTAGCAACTCTTTTTAATAGAAACAGTTTTAAACATCCACCTTATATGAATTTATTAACACAATAAATTTGCCTTATATGTATTTAAGACTAGAATTAAATCTAAACATTATATTCGTTTTGAACAGGTCAATAACATTGCAATAGCACCTTACGTTATTTGACTTGGTATAACAAATATTTCAAATAAATAAAAATCTTATTGGATGATTAGAAAGAATATTCTGGCTTAGTAATTGTTATGTATATAGAATATAAGTTAAAAGGTTAAGAACAAAGTATTTATATATTATCAAACATTCTGCAGAAATAAGTAATTCTAACAGATTAATTTTATTATTTACAGATTAGGATTAAAATAGATAAGCATAAAACATTTATGCATAAATCCTAAAACATTAGTAACTGTAGTTAATTGTATTGAGAATTTTTAAAAAAAATAAAGTAAATAAAACTGAATTATATAAATTTTTTTAAGACAATGATACTATTAATAGTACATTAAAACATTCGATTGATTCAATAAATTTCGCATATATTTACAAATAACTAGCATATTAGCCTGTACCTCTAGTACAGGATTAAGGAATTATACCAGTAGTTATATTTACTGATAAATTTTAAAAAATTCGACATGTTGAATAGCATTATTCAACATGACGAATTTTTTAAAATTTACTAGTAAATTTTAATTAGATAGGATATAAAACTTTTTCATGCTTTACACTGATGATTTTATTGAATAAAAAATGATTATAGTTAATTATACTTTGTCTTTAAAAAATTATTAAAGTGAACAGAATTATCATAAACTTCATACTCACACTAGTAACTTATTAAATTATTAAATAATTATAGTTAATACATTGTCCTGAAACACAATCGTTAAAGTGAATAGAACTAAACTTTATCTTATCCTAATAATGAAAGAGTTATTTGGCACCTGAAAATTTTTTTTACCCAGCCCTTCCTTGTAGTATAGATATTCAATTTAAGTAAAAAATATAATCCAAACAAAATTACAACTGGTTAATTGATTTAATACATATTTACAAGAATAGAGTGGTCTGGAATTACACTTTATACATTAAAACTTTTGCATTCAATCAATCATAATGAGAAATGCATGAGTTAAGGTAAAGAAGAGATCAATCAGTATTAAGTTGTATGCCAGAAATATAATATAAAGTTTATAATTTACAGACAAGTGGTGTATACTTTTACAGAATAATTCCCAAATGCTGTATGAATCCTGAATGATGTATCTATTTATATATATAGTGTCTAATAAATCATAATATCTAATAAAATTATTTGGACAAATTGGACATTGTCCAAATGTCTAATATTATAATGTGCCATTTCTGAACACAGAGATATAGAGGAATATGTTAAAAAAATACAAACAAAAAATGAATGAGATAAGGGAAAGACAAAAAAAAAACTAAACTAAATACAGGATTTTTCATTTACACCGAATAGTTACAATTATAAACCTGTATCAGGCTTTATAAAAATTATATACTATTATATAAACTAGTCTCTACTTAATCTATATATATAGTATATCTAAGATAAGCAAAAAACCTTGCAACAAGGTAAAAAAATAGCTTCTTCAACATCAACACCATAGAGAGGTTAGAAAGGTCAAAAATTCGCACCAGAGATCTCAAGTCATTGTTTATTCAAGTTGTCACATTCGAGGCACATAATTCACATATTTAGTTCTATATGTATCTACATATTTGTTGTGACATATAAAAATGTAAACAATGCGACCGATTTAGTAAGTAAACAAATATTGATCTTTGAAGAGAATAAGCTAAATTACCTACTTTTTTACAAAATTTTTTCTGAAAAAAAGTGGAAACAACGAGAGTATATGAAGTTCTTCTGTAAGTTTTATAGTTGTATAGACAATTCTTCAAGCTTTAACTATTTCAGCGAGAGTCTTTTAACTATTACTTGTTCCTAGAATAGACCTTATGGTTTGGATGCCAAATAATTTAAAGAGTCTGTCAATATAGCAAAAACTTGACTTTAAGAAAAACTGTCTAAGTTACACCTGCTTCTCAATGTGTCACACCTCTTGAACTTCATTAACAATAATCTATACAAAAGTAAAGACAGTTTTCAGAATATCTTTCTGGTTTGGATGCCGAATAACTCAGAGAGTCTACACAAAAGCAAAAAGGTTTGACCTCAAGAAAAACTGCCTAAAGTACACCCACTCCTTAGTATTTCATATCTTCAAACTTTATCGATAACTGCTTTACTCTAAGATAGAACTGAGAAGTATCTGTCTTGGATGTTCCTATATCATTTTTTGTAGTTCGATTTTTTGTTGTTATTGTCTAGAGGATTGTCAGAAAGAGTTTTTTTTTGTAAAAATTATATATTATATAACTTTAGAATACTGTATTAATATATCTTTAATTTATTTATTTATTTAAGAACTTTCTATTTTTATTTAAACTATAAGCAAAAGTTTTTAAGCAATTTTACATAAAGTAAGTATGGGTATTATAACGCAGAACCAATTATGATGCATACGTGATATCTCGTGATTTAGTAATCAGAATTGGATAATTTTA